AGCCCCGGTCTGGTTTGTCCTCGCGTGGGGACCAGGCTCCGGCGAGGGAAGGGGTGAAACCTGCCTGTGAGCGTTCCCATCTGACTTGTCAGCGTGCCTTCCCTTCATCTGGTTTACGAGCTTCCTGCTAACAAATCAGCGGCAGATGTGCAGATAAGAAACGCAGCCTGCTGCGACGCAGGCTGGCAGGTTGGCCAGCCCTGACTGCACCGGCCCGGGTCCCCCTGACATGGTGGCACAGTTGGACCAGTGCCGGGTCAGCAATTACCGCGCTCTCAGCCCAAAAGCCGGGCTAAGTTGTGAGCTCTGGGCAAGAGCAGCCTGTTCTGGTTCACTGTCTTGCTCTGCTCTGAGCTGCGGCGTTAACTGGGGCCCTGGTCTGCGCCGCTCCCAGCTGCGCGGCGGGCAGCTGCCGGCTTTTTGGCACGCTCCTGTTTGTTTCGCTGGGCGCTTGGTCAGGGCGTTCGCCCGACCCAGCCTGCGGAGCCGGTGCCGTTGCACACCCGATCCTTGTGATGTTAAACCCTGAGGTCAAGGGCAGCCGCTGCGGCCGCTGGCCAGTGTCCCGGGAAGGTGAGGACGGCCCCGCGCTGGTGCCCATGTGCCAGCAGGACTAACAATTCCATCGGATTGTAGCTTGTTACATGGAGATAGCGTGGGGATTTTTTTCCGTGACTGGTTCGGCTGGGGACCCAGCAGCTCTTCGTCCTCTCTTGTCAGGAGAGAGGGTTGGGATTGTTTTGCTGAGCTCTCGCGCAGCTGCTGAAGGAATAAAACCACAATTGTTAACACTTAATTTCCTTTTTGTGTGCAGGTTTAGAAATGTTGTTGCTTGTTCAGTGACCTGCCAGCTGGGTTTCGCTTTCACATCCTCCTGCCTGGTTGTGCCAGCACAAGTTGTTACCAAAAAAAATGAAACCACCACCATTTTACAAACAGTTTTTAACCTAATGACAAGGAATTAAATTTTTTTCCCGCGCCCCAAATACAAAATCTGGGGCTTGAAATGAATTGTGCTTGTCTGGCTTTCTGCTTGTTTGCTTCCTGGCTTTAGCATGTGGCATGTTCACCAAGGAAAGCCTGAACCAAATGCCTGGAGGCAGAGGTTACCCAGGGCCCGGCCCTGAGTAAACAGAAGTGAAAGGTATTTTTTCTTCGGCTAATCCAATCTAAGATCAGAGAAGGGTTTCTGCACCTTCCTGCCCTTCAGCAGCCGGCAGGTCTGAGTCTGGTTTCAGAGCTGTCTGTAATTCTGCGTGGTTTTTATTGTTGGCTGAGAGGATAAAAGTGTGCAGAATGGGACGGCCTGTGCACTGTCAGAGCGCAGCCAGGCTTTCATCTCGGATCGCAGAGTGCTTTGCAGATGTTCATTAAGGCCAGTAGCACCAGAGGCAGGTCAGGTTGGTCTCCGGGGAGCCAGCGGGGTTGTGAAATGAGTGGCCGGGGCTCACACGGCCTCGCCGTCTCGTGCTGGGGTTCTGGCCCAGGTACCCTTGGCTCTGGCCACCGGCTACACCCCAGCACCCGAGGAGCTCCGGAAGGGCTGCGCACCCCTGCAGCGTCGCAGGAGGGTGCTGGCTTTAAGCAGTTTTCTCCCTGTCCCGTGTCCCGAGATGCTGCACATGCTTATAGGGGTGTTGGGGCAGGCTGGAGCGGAGGAGGGATTGTGCTGTGAGAGATCTCCCTGCCCTCAAAGCTCACAGACGGTTTTTGTTTCTTACATCCCTGCTCAGGACCAAGAAAGACGAACGCCGCTTCATGCTGCTGCCTACATAGGAGATGTTGCAATCCTCGAGCTCCTAATCCTGTCAGGTAAGGGCCAAGGCTCGGGGCGCTTGGCTCGAGCACTGGTGCTGCCTTTAAGGCATCTTTCTGGTCTTAGGGGTGCAGAGCAACAGTTTTTGGTCGCCCTCCAAGCACCCGTGTGCTCATGCTTAAGCCAGTGGGGTTGCAGCCAGGGGAAGATTAGGAAACCTTGCCATAATCCTAAGAGGTTTGTTCAGACAGAGAAGTGTCTTGGAACTGAAATAGCAGAGGTGGAAACCAAGCCAGGAGGGGGATGTGTACAAGATGTTAGAAGGAGGTACTGGAGGAGGGTGCAGTGGGGTTGCACGCCTCGGAGACGCCTTCAACGGCAGGATGCTCAGGGGAGCAGAGTTTCACTTGCTCATGGAGAGGCATCAGCTAAAAAACCAGGGGATTTTGCTCAGTTTTGGCTTGTGTTACTTGGCGTAAAGCCCTTTGTTTCCCTCCAGAGACACTCAGCCCTATCCTTGGGTCCCGTGCCCATGCGGTGCAGACAGGGGAGTCTCCTCGTCCGCCGTTCACCGGTGCAGCGCCGCGGGGCACCGTGGGCTTTGCAGCTGCTTGCTGGTGGTGTGGGGGAACCCCGAGGCTGGCCCGATCCTACGTGACCCTCACAAGGAGAGACGGGGGGGAAAATCTTTTGCTGAGGGCTTTTAAACAGGATTGGGGATGTTCAGCTCCATCTGCAGAGCACGGGATGCCCTTACGTGCCGCGTGGAGGTTTTTTTCATGCCTGCGTGTTGAGTTCTCAGCAGCAAAGAAAGGCAGGGGCTTCAGGGGTCGTGGGACCTAAGTGCCTAGTGCAGGTCTGGAGCTGGGATGGCAGTAATCTGTCACCTTTCCTTTCTGATATGGAGATGCAGCTCACAGCGACCACGGCTCACAACGTGAAATGCTCTGTTTTTTTGACTCAAGTGGCCTTGTTTTAAAGTAAGGAGCAGAACTGCTCGCTGGGTCCTGTGGTGGTTTTTTTTGGCTCAGTGGAGAAGCCGGCACTCTGGGAGGTGTAGTCTCTTCAGTCTCTGCCTTGCTGTGTCCTTTGCAGTGCACCGGCACAGTCTCCCAAGGGGCGTAGCTTGTTCCTCTTCCAGTTCACGGAGTTTGTCCTCACCTAAAGCTCAGTGCAAGGTCCCCTCTTGCAGCAGAACTGGTGCTCTTGCCCGGCGGGTGCCTCAGAGGTGGCTGCAGACCTGTCCTGGGACCCTGGCGTGGGGCAGCCGGTCACCTCTCTGTCCCCTGACCCCTTCTTTTGTTCTTCCTCAGGTGCTAATGTTAATGCAAAGGACACTGTTTGGCTCACTCCGTTACACCGCGCTGCGGCTTCTCGTAACGAGGTAGGTTCCCTCTGGTTCCCTCTGCTCCTTGCATGGGGGTGGTGGCACCGATGGGAGGGGGGGACCGTGCATCTCCTCCATCTTGCCTGGTTTTGGCTGAGGTGGGTGTTCTCGTTAGAGTGGAGAGGGGATGAACGCATAATTCAGAGGCTGAAAATGAGAGCTGGAAAAAAGATCTCCTTGATTCCCTTCTCTCCATCCTTCAGGAGTTAGCACATCGGTTTTCCCCACAACATCCTCTTCCCTGCCTTTCCCTCTTTCCCCAGGGCTTTGTCTAATCCAGCATTACATTTCTTTGAAGGATGATGGGGCTCTTACCCTTTCCCTCGGGAGCCGATTCCAGTGGATTTTATTGGAAAGATTTCCTCACGTTTAGCTTTTGTGGGCTTAACTTCATCCCACTTAACTTTGTCCTGTTTTTTGTTGCTGGAGAGCAAGAAATTCTGTGGTCATGTTGGCTGGAGCCAGGGGATCAGAAGCCCTGACTCTGACATGCAGGGCAAGTTACCACATATCGACTGGTTGCATGAATTCTCTTAATCGGCAGCAGACACGGGATGAAACACATTAGTGTAAACCTCTACTGAAGGCATTTGCTGTGAACATGTGTGGACAGTTACTGCGGGTTGCTAAAGTACGGGAGCTCAGCAAGCAGAGACTGTTTCGCTGTCAGGTCTGAAGTGCTGAATTTGAGCACGCTCGTTTGCTTCTCTGCCTCGGCTCAGATGTGCTGGAGGGTCGCCTCCTTCATTCTATTCTTCCCTGGGCTGCTTGGCACAGGGCTCTGCCAGTGCCCTGCATGCCCAGCTCCTGCGAGGAGGCTTCCCGAAATGCCTGTGTGCTTCACAGCTTGTCCTGCCTAGAGCCTGCTCTCTAGGATTGCTGGATTTATGTACTTAGGACAAGAGGAAATGGGCTCAAGCTGCGCCAGGCGAGGTTTAGATTGGATATTAGGAAAAATTTCTTCACGGAAAGAGTAGTCAAGCATTGGAACAGGCTGCCCAGAGAGGTGAGGGAGTTACCATCCCTGGAAGCATTCAAAAAACGGGCAGAGGTGGCACTTTGGGACATGGTTTAGTCTAGTCTACCCTTGATTGGTTTATTGTGGACTTGGTAATGTGAGGTTAATGGTTGGACTGGATGATCTTAAAGGTCTTTTCCAACCTAAACGATTCTATGATTCTATGATACTGCGTGGCCGTTTCATGTGCTTCTCCCACCGGGAGTGGTATCAGCTAGCCCTGGGAGAAAAGAGCAAAGCAGTGAGCCGGGGGCTGGGATTGTTGGAAGCGCTGCCCCGGGGCTGCGTGGAAGCAGGTAGCCTGTAAATCGTAGCAAGGAAAACGTGGGGTTGCAGCAAACAGCCTCTACCAGCGAAAGGGGGAAATAATTATCAAATATAGGTCAGTGGGTCACATTTGTCATCCCCCAGGCGCTTCGCACCTTGTGAGTCATGGATGAACACTCAGTTACAGTTAAATCACGTGGCTCGGAGGTATTTCTCCCATGCCAGTACCCCCATTTCACAGCTGCCATCGGGTGGGATGAGCCCGGCTCATTCAGGTCCCACACACTGAGCTCCAGCCTGGAAGGAGCTGGAGCAGCCCAGGTGAGGGCTGG